CTCCTTTTGCTCAGGCAAGGGGAGGAGGAGTGGCCTGGGCCAAGTGGAACGAGGGCCCCCCTTCCGAGGATGGAGTTGGGACGCACGGGATGTGCCCTTGGGGCAACCATACTGACCTCGGGGATGAGCCACCTGAGGCCCAGGGAAGGGCTGGTGGAGGCCTCTGCAGCGCCTCAGCCACCCAGGTCCCAGCTGTCCCAGCCCTGCTTCTAGTCAAGAGGCAACGGGGCTTCATTTTTCCTCAAAGACCTTTCGCTTCTCACCCAAGAAGCTTCTTCAGGTCACAACTGATGCAAAGAGCTGAGGAAGCCCCTGGGGCGAGAAGCAAAACATCCGCGGTGCAGTGATTCAATGCCCTTGTGGGGCTAGTCCCAGGGTTGTTAAGCAAATCCAGATTCCCCCAAGACTGAGCTCGTCAGAAGGTCGCAAAAGGGGATCACGGTGACTCTGAGAAGACTGCAATCGTCGTAAATATGAGTCAGCGGCCAAGCGTCCAAATTCTGATCCCATGACCATGGAGATGCTGCGGTGGTCGTAAGTGTGAAAAATGGCCATGAAGTGACTGTTTTTCAGTGCCGATGTAAACGAAGTTGGCTACCAGTTGAGGACTGCCTACCCATCGCTTCCACCAGTAGATCCTGGGGATTGAGGGACATTTTCCCGATTTGTTCTTTTTCATAAGGCTCCCAAGACTTTGTTTGAAAACCTCCATTTTCACTCTGGGAAGAGCCGTTTCCTCCGGTAGCAGGAAAGGCGTGCCTTTTGTTTAGCCAAGCGTTTTGCTCACCTCCTTCTTTCCTTAGGGCTGTTAACAGGCACCCTTTATTTATCCTCCTAAATAAGTTGGGCCTTGCTTCTTTACCTGCCGCTAGCAGAAAAGCTTCTGGTTAGTTTCTAACGCCAGGAGCCCCCGGGGTGAGCTTCAGCCGGAGGAAGTGATCCTTCTGCCCATCCTCCTTGTTCCCCCACCCTCTTCAAGGTTCTAGCAGGAGTCTTGAACTGCACACACATAGTATTTTTTTAATCTTCCCCAATTCTGAGTTGGGCAGAGGAGATTGGTTTTGCCAGCAATGCAAACAAAATAAAAATAAAGTTAATAGAGAAGAATATTTGTAGCTCGGGGTTCAACTCTGGGATCCTTGGGGCTCTCTGAGCTGGGTAGTTTTCTTGCATACGTCTCATGACCCAGCTAGGGAACATCATCAGTGGTAGAAGAGAGTCGGTTGCGTGGAGTGTATTCACATATATATGAAAAGATAACTTTTAACCAACAAATAACAAAAGCCTCCTGTAGCTCTTTAGAACAGTAAATTTCAAAAAATGAATTTACAAAATAGAAAATTTTAACAATGTACTGTCTAGTTCCGTTCAGCTCTGTATTTACACAAGAATGTCTGCTTATGAGTGGGGAATGATGCAATTTATTCTAGATTAATCAACAGGGATTAAAAATGAGCAACAGGATGGAGGGGAAAAAAGAGAAGAAGGGATCATTATTTTGTTTCGTATTGAAATTTCCTGAAAATCCTGTCCCTTAAAAATACAAATATTATTCATGGAATTAAAGATTAACTTATTTGTCCACCACCACTCTTTAAATGTCAGGAGATTCTAAACAGGATTAATGATTGCCAAAAAAAATAAACAGAGCCAAGATTCACAAGATAATTTGTTAGCCTTTCTCATTCAGGGAAATGAATTAGGTCAGAAAGGAAAGTCGGCAAAATTGGAAAGGTGTTTTTAGTTTGGTATAAATCAACTTCCTCCCAAAAATATCTTGGAATCTTTCATGTTGGAAGAGACTCAACGAAGCAACATGCAGATCCAATTTCTACTCTCCTGATACTTCAATCTTTGTGGGGTCCTTGGTGATCTCTGAGCTTGGTGGTTTTCTTGCAGACGTTTTATTACCCAACTAGGCAGCAGTATCAGTGCTGATTGGAGCACTGATGATGTTACCTAGTTGGACAATGAAACATCTTCATAAAAACCACCAAGCTCAGATAATGCCAAGAACCCCACAGTCCTCCTCCTCCTCCACACATATCACTCCCTTCTAGCACTGATGATGTTACTTAGGTGGGCAATAAAATGTCTGCAAGAAAATCACCAAGGCCACAGTTCTCCTCCTCCTCCACCACCACCACCAACTCCCCTCCGTTCTAGCACTGATGATCTAACCTAGTCTGGTAGCGAAATGTCTGCAAGGAAACCACCAAGCTCAGAGAGTACAGAGGAGCCCTGATTGCAGCCTTGAGCTGCAAATATTCCCTTCTATCCGTCCATAAACCTGGAATCCTATTGGAGCGCTGCAGCCAGGCTACCTGTCCTCCCGCCCTGCCCACAACCCCTCATGATTTCCTGGGGCTTTTCTTCAACCCCGCCTGGCCCTTTGGCTACAAACCCAGAAACCTTTCTTAACGTTCCTCCTTGGCCTTGTTTTGTCTTTTGAGAAAGCAAAACGTTCTTTTTTTTTACAGCTTCTCCTCCTCCTCAAACCTTTCTCAATGCATTAACCTGTCTGCCCTTCGCACAAGACGCTTCCCAGAGAAAACTTGAGTAAAAGGTTTTCAGCTTGTTTCGACAACAGAAAAGCGGGGGGAACACCACTCCCAAACGAGGAACAAACAACATGAAGGAACAAAGAAGTCAACATGGCTGAACCTCCACTCATTTTCGAGTGTAGCCATGCCCAAATAGACTCGGGTGAGAGGTTCCTTTAACCATCCCTTTGCAGTCTTCGAGGGCAGGATTAAGAATGATGTCTAGCTGGGGCAAGAATTGGGCCTGTCTAGTTTCATGAAAAGAAGGACCAGCGGGTGACGAGATAGCAGTCTTCCAATATCTCAGGGCCTGCCACCAAGAAGAGGAGGGGGTCAAGCTATTCCCCAAAGCCCCTTCAGAAGGCAGGAGAAACAGCAACGGATGGAAACTAACCAAGGAGAGAAGCAACCTAGAACTAAGAAGAAATTTCCTGACAGGGAGGACAATTCATCAGTGAACGATTTGCCTTCAGAAGTTGTGGCTGCTCCATCCCTGGAGGCTTTCAAGAAGAGACCGGACAGCCACTTGTCTGAAATGGTATAAGGGTCTCCTGCTTGAGCAGGGGGCTGGACTAGAAGACCTCCAAGGTCCCTTCATTCTATTCTATTCCATTGCATTCCATTCTCAAATCTATTCTATTTTATTCCGTTCTGTTCTGTTCTATTCTATTATCTCCATTTCTCTTCTCTTCTCTTCTCTTCTCTTCTCTTCTCTTCTCTTCTCTTCTCTTCTCTTCTCTTCTCTTCTCTTCTCTTCTCTTCTCTTC